GCTCACGTTAATCTTCCATTGGTCTGCTGATCTCCTCTCGTCTTACCTAATCTCATTTTCAATTACTCTCTTCCCTTCTCTTTTCCGTTTTGAAACCCATTATCTCCCTTGATGTGTTCCTTAAACAAACTAGACAATTCCCTACTTCTGAGCCTTCACACTTGCTGTTCTATCTAGAACATTCTCCCCCCAAATGTAAACATGGTGACTCCCTCACCTTCTGCAGACTTTTATTCACATAATGAAGTCTTTCCGGATGAACCTATTTAAAATTGCACCTCCCTACACCCCAAAATGTCTACTCTAACTTCCTGTTTTATCCTTCCCTTTAGCTCTTAAAACTAACACATTGTATCATTTGGTTATTCCTTTTTGTGTATTGTCTATCTCCCTCACATGAAATTAAGCTCTCTGACGGCAGAGATTTTGTCTATTCTATTTCCTCCTGTATTCCTTGTACACGTTGTTGTAGTTGTTGTTATGTGCCATGGAGTCAGACCCGACTCATAGCGACCCCTCCTTGGGTTTCCGAGGCAGTATCACTACGGAAGTAGGTTGCCCAACCTTGTCCTCCCCACCACTGCTGGTACTGAAATAATGGTACCATTTGTAACTGAAGTTGTCTTCGATTTGCTGAAATATTGTATTGCACAAGAGTAGTAAATCAGACTATGTTTCTGAATAAATATTTCAAAGATTCTTTTGAAATAGCAATGCATGCAAGTTTGCAAAGAATGGTGAAGAGTTCCTTCATTCACTCAACAATTATTTATTGAGCATCTACTTTGTGCCAGGAGCAAGGAATACTAGTAAGAAATTCAAAAGAGAGATTTGGGGCTCAGGGCAGTGGGGAGAGCAAGAAATACGCTTTCAAAGACATTAGCAATGAGTTGGTATTTAAAAAACCTGGTAAACCAGCTTTTGAACGAATCATTAACAATTCATATTTGGCACCTTTTGATTCCATTCCTTCTTCATGTTATTAAGTTGAATTATTTGCAATTCTCCCTACAGCTTATTTCAATTGCAGAAAAGAAGTCCATCATTGATTTCTTATGTTGGGTAATGTTGTTGCTCCTACTCCTATGCAAGTTGACATGGGAAGCCAAAGGAACTGCTGCAGTGCTCTTCTGGTCCCTTTAAAACCTAAGAGGAACTGTTCTGGAGCTCTACAGCTCAGCAAACATTCTGTCAGGGATGAGAGGATGGCTTTCCCTTTCTTGCTACCTAAACTCGTTTTCTGTGATTCTCTTGAAGCCTCTACCTTGACTTAAGGGAAATGAAAAGGTGGAGGCAAAGGAACTGCCCCTCACCAAACACACTGCACTCCTCACGCGCTTACCACCCCTTTTATTCTGAGACCTTTTTTTAATGACTCAGAAAAGGGGTTTTGAGGAAGTTGGAGGTTGCTAGTAGTTGAGATAATACTGCTATTGCTTCCTAGGAAACCCTGTGAGGAAGTGGCTGGTCTCAACTGCTGACAGCTTGTGGGAAAATGCCAGGTAGTACCACTGGTCCTCAGAATCTGGCCTTAGCAGCAATTTTATAACAGAAAAATATCTCACTATGGACATCCTTTAGGAGCTCTGGTAGCGTAGTGCCTAAGGCACTTGACTGCTAACCAGAAGGCTGGCAGTTCAAACCCACCAGCCACTACTCAGAAGGAAGGTTAGGCAATCTACTTCCATAGTGATACCACCTCGGAAACCCAAGGAGGGGTCGCTATGAGTCGGGTCCGACTCGATGGCACATAACAACAACAACAAAAAAAAATTAAACAAAAAATTTGAGGAGCAGCAAAGAGTAACACCAAACCAAAATGATATAAATATATATATATATATATATAC